AGAACCCGGTGTGCCGGCGCCGCAAGGCGGAGGATTAGCATAGTGAGCCGTGGCACCGGCCTGATGATTGGTATTTTATTTGTATCCATCTCTACAAATGAAAATTTTAGTGACATTTACTCTTTTTTCTTTCCAACTTCCTACCTAAATCATCCAAGTATTTTTCTTTGAAGATGCAGTTATGAAAGAAAGATAAATAGGCATATACTTCCTAATTTGCTTCTTTTGGAGATTTTCATTATATTTTTAAGATTCTTACTCCCACATACTAAATGACTCATTTATAAACTTCAGTTAGCTCCAATCTCAACGTATTAAAGGTTCCCCGCTTCCAAATATTTCCTGCTAGCTTCAAATGAGGCTGTCACTGGTTTGCACTTATAATAAAAACTGGGGCCAGTGCTGTGGCATAGAGGGTAAAGCTACTGCCTGCAGTGCCAGCATCCCATATGGGCATCGATTTGTGTCTTGGTTGCTCTTCTTAAGATCCAGCTCTCTGCTATGGCCTGGGAAAGCAGCAGATGATGGCCCATGTCTTTGGGCCCCTGCACCCACATGGGACACCTGGAAGAAGCTCCAGACTCCTGGCTTCGGACTGGCCTGGCTCCGGCCATTACAGCTATTTGGGGAGTGAACCAATGGATGGAAGACCTCTTTCTCTCTGCCTCTCTTTAACTCTGCCTTTCAAATAAATAAATCTTTTTTAAATAAAAAGATTTATTTATTTAAAAGATTTATTCATTTATTTGAAAGTCAGAGTTACGCAGAGAGAGAAGGAGAGGCAGAGAGAGAGGTCTTCCATCCGATGGTTCACTCCTCAGGTGACCGGAATGGCTGGAGCTGCACCAATCCGAAGCCAGGAGCCAGGAGCTTCCTCCGGGTCTCCTATGTGGGTGCAGGGGCCCAAGGACTTGGGCTATCTTCTACTGCTTTCCCAGTCCATAGCAGAGAGCTGGATGGGAAGTGGAGCAGCCGGGTCTCAAACCGACACCCATTAGGGGATGCCAGTGTTTCAGGCCAGGATATTAACCCACTGTGCCACTGGCCCCAAAATAAATTATTCTTAAAAAAAGTAAGAATAAAACTAAAGGAAACTGATCAAAAGATACACTTATGGGGCTGGTGCTGTGGCACAGCGGGTGAAGCCACTGCCTTAAGAGTGCCAGCATCCCATATGGGTACCTGCTCAAGTCCTGGCTGCTCCACTTCTGATCCAGCAGAAGATGGCCCAAGAGCTTGGGCTCCTGCACCTGAGTGGGAGACCCAGAAGAGGCTCCTGGCATCCGATCAGCACAGTTCCAGCTGTTGCGGCCATCTGGGGAGTGAACCAGCAGATGGAAGACCTCTCTTGTTCGCTCTGTATCTGCCTATCTGTGGCTCTGCCTTTCAAATAAATAAATCTTAAAAAAAAAAAAAAAAAGGATACACCTACTTATCAATTTATTTCATATTTAGAACATAAGTACTTGGTGCTCTAGTGGAAGAAGTGTAAGTAATTGCTGTAATTTTACCTTTCTCCAGGTCTTCCTCACAAGAGCAAAGAAATACTAGGGCCCTTTACCCACAAGTCAAGGAAGAAAAGATAAGATGGAGAAGGAAGAAAAAATAGATGATAGAGATAGAGAGGCGAAGTCAGATACGGCAAGCACGTAACTGTTTCTTTCATTTACCTTTTACCCAGAGAGGATAAAGCATATTTTGTTCAAAAGTTCTTTAATAAATTTAAGCAAAAAGGGGCTGGTGCTGAGGCGCTGTGGGTTAAAGCCCTGGCCTGAAGTGCTGGCATCCCATATGGGCACCGGTTCTAGTCCCGGCTGCTCCTCTTCTGGTCCAGCTCTCTGCTATAGCCTGGGAAAGCAGTGGAAGATGGCTCAAGTGCTTGGGTCCTTGCACCCATGTGGGAGACCCAGGGGAGGCTCCTGGCTCCTGGCTTCGGATCAGCACAGCTCCGGCTGTTGCAGCAACCTGGGGGAGTGAACCATCATATGGAAAACCTCTCTCTGTCTCTACCTCTCTGTAACTCTTTCAAAAAAAAAAAATTTTAAGCAGAAATTGGTGACTAGGTCATTAGCATGATACTGTACAAAGAGTACAGGGAGTAGAAGAAATGAGTTTAAATATAGACTCCAATACTTCCTTTCTAAACTCAATCTGTTCTATGTGAGTTAATCTTTCTCAGCAGACTAAGCTGTGTCTTTTTTGTTGCAGCACAATGCCTGGTAAACAGTGAGGACTTCAGTAAATATCTGTAGAAGAATTGAATGAATGAACGTTTCATGCCAAATTTCTTCAACTCTGTTTATTGATATATAATTGGAAAGAATAAATTTTATATTATTTCATTAAAATCTCTGAAAGGTACATAAAGCATCTAGCAGAAGACTCTCTTTCATCAGTTATTTAATTTGGTACCCTGTAGATGATCTGCAATAGCAGAGAATCAATAATTAATAACCATCAGTGTTTTGTGAAAAATCATCACTACTTTCTACTTAATATTCATATGGATTATAATACGGTTTCCATGTGTTCATCACTACCTCAAAAGCATTTCCTCTTTAGCACCCATCAGATTGTCATGAGGATTTAATTAAATAATACAGGCAAATTACTTGGCAATGTGATTAACACATGGTTGGAATGCAGTAAGCATTAGAAACCTTTTATTTTTATTAGTTTAAAGGGTACCTGATAGCTAGTGCCTCATAACACTTAAGACTCAAATGCTCTTTGATGCAAACCAAACTGGCTGTTACAGATCAGAAAGATCAGCTATAGAGCTAATCTGTAAGAGTTTATCTAAAATGATACTTCCTATTACTAATGATTACTACAGTACCTGCTGGAAAATCTCACTTCTATTCAATCCAAAATTGCCTTACAATTTCAAACAAGGGCAAGACTTAGTTAAAACAAAAACAAAACAAGTCTTGTCATCTGCTCTCTTGCTTTTGTTTGTTTGCTTGTTTTTGTTTGTTTGTTTGTTTGCTTTTAAGATTAATTCACGGCCGCGGCTCACCAGGCTAATCCTCCGCCTTGCGGCGCCAGCACACCAGGTTCTAGTCCTGGTCGGGACGCCGGATTCTGTCCCGGTTGCCCCTCTTCCAGGCCAGCTCTCTGCTGTGGCCCGGGAGTGCAGTGGAGGATGGCCCAAGTGCTTGGGCCCTGCACCCCATGGGAGACCAGGAGAAGCACCTGGGTCCTGCCATCGGATCAGCGCAGTGCACCGGCCGCAATGCGCCGGCCGCGGTGGCCACTGGAGGGTGAACCAACGGCAAAGGAAGACCTTTCTCTCTGTCTCTCTCTCTCTCTCTCTCTCTCACTGTCCACTCACTCTGCCTGTCAAAAAATAAAAATAAATAAAAAAAAAAAGATTAATTCACTTAAAAGGCGAGTTACAGAAAGGGAGAGGAGTCTTCCATTTTCTGGTTCACTCCTCAAATGGCCGCAATGGCCAGAGCTGGGCTGATCAGAAACCAGGAGCTTCTTCCGTGTCTCTCACATGCGTGCAGGGGCCAAGCACTTGAGCCATCTTCTGCTGCTTTCCCAGGTTCATTAGCAGGGAGCTGATCGCAAGAGGAGCAGCCAGGTCTTGAACTGGTGCCCATACAGGATAGGGGCACTGCAGGCAGCATCTTAACCCACTTTGCTACAGTGCCAACCCCTTTTGCTTGTTAAATAAAAGAATATTAGTACTTGGTGCTAATGTTTTCAGACCAGGCATTAGAACTCTAACAAGGAAGAAAGATGAAAAGTTTCTCTCTCTCTCTGTTATACTAGATCTTTAAAATTTTTTAACATTAGGGGCACATATCTCTGCTGGTAGTTAAGATAGGTCAGGATCCCCACAACCCTTACTGGAGTACATGGGTTGTGTGGCATAGTAGTTTAAGCCCCACCACCTGGCACACTAATATCGTATTGGAGTGCTGGTTCAAGTCCAGGTTACTTTGTTTCAGAACCAGCTTCCTACTCATGTGTTTGGGAGGAAGCAGGTAATGCCACAAGTACTTGGATTCTTCCTAGCTGTGGGAAACCTAGATAGAGGTCCAGGCTCCTGGCTTTAGCCTGGTACAGCCCTAGCTGTTGCAGGCATTTGGGGAGTGAACCAGCAGATGGAAGATCTCTCTTCTTTGCTTCTCCCTGTCATTCTGCCTTTCAAATAAATAAATAAATCTTTGAAAAAAAAAAAGGATTAGAGCATTTTCAAGGTTTATTGAAGACCTAATATTTTTTAAAGATTTATTTTATTTTATTTGAAAGGCAGAGTTAGAGAGAGAGGGAGAGGCAAAGAGAGTGAGAGATTTCCCATTGGCTGGTTCACTCCCCAAATGCCCACGATGGCTAGAGCTGGGCCAGTCCGAAGCCAGGAGCCAGGAGTTTCTTCCAGGTCTCCCACGTGGGTGCAGGGGCCCAATGACTTGGGCCATCCTCCACTGCTTTCCCAGGCACAATAGCAGGGAGCTGGATTGGAAGTGGAATGGCTGGAATTCGAACCTGTACCCATATGGGATGCTTGCTCGGCAGAACCTGCTACACCACAGCACTGGCCCCATTGAAGACTTAATTACCAAGTAGATGTTAATCAGATTTTCCTTGATCATAAAATGTAATATAGTATCTTCTCATCATTCATCATTTTAAATCTAAAGAACATATAGGTACTCTTCACATGCATTTAAATTCTATGAGGAAAAAAACTAGCATAATAAAATCTCAATATTTATTTGGTGAAGTTTCCACTTTACAAAACAGGTTGTTGTAAATAATTCATTTTTACACAAACCATAGTCAAACCAGCCAGTTCTACATATCAGATTCTATAATCAAAAAATTAGCCAGAGAAACAGAATCCTCTGGGAACGTATGTTAATTTAGGAAATGATTTCAGAAACATGTATTATTTCTGCTAGCAAACAGGGCGGAATTCAGATGAAAACAATTTAAAACGCATTACTGTGCTTGTTTCGGCAGCACATATATTAAAATGCATTACTTACTTTTGCAAATAATTCTTGTTGTTGCCTCAATAACTCCTCTTCAGGAATGCCAAGGTTTTCCAAACGAGAACTGGCCTTTCTTCTTTTTAATGCTACAGTCTTGCATTCTTGTAAGACTTCTTTTACTTCACTGATGTAAGAACCAAAGCCCAAACTTTCTAGTGCTAGAGAAATGAAAATATGAAAGGATGATAAAACATAGCTCTTTCTCCACCAAATAACATCAAGTTTTTATGGGTTTTTCTTTGAGGGAAAGGAATGTTTTCGTTGTTTTGTAGTAATTATATCTATTTTATTGTCGTACACAATTGTCTGGGTAACTAATACAAACTATTTTATCAACTTTCTTAATATTAGGTTATAAAGCAGTTAAAATATAAGGAACATTTCAAGGCATAGACTTCCAATTTTTTCTTCCTAATTTCTAAAAGATCAAAGCATTTCCTGTGAAAATAAAAGGTCCAATGTAAAAGCATGTGGTTTTAGTAAGAAAAATATTTTCCTATAATACTCATAGTAAGTCAAACATCATTAAATCAGTCACTTTCTCAAAGAATACAAAAAAGGAAAATATTTGGAATATGTTAGTAACATATTTTGTGCCATTTGGCTTAGAGAGAGTGTGCTGGTAACACATGCTCTATTAAGTCTCAATAGAATAGGATGAAAGAACAGATAAATTTTTCTTTTGTCCAATATAACAGAAAGCTATTTTTAGCAAAGACACTAAAACTGCCAACTTTAAGAAATACTGGTGGAAATAACTCATGAAATTCAGCATTTAGTTAGCCAACAGGTTTCCCTTGAAAATAAAATGTAACAGGAAGCACTATAAAAACATTTTCAAACGACGTGGCTGAAAAACTGGGTTGAAAGATTGACTACGAGGATAGAGGCATAAATAAAAAATTCTTTCCCTTTCCTTTTTTTGTTTTACATTTAGAAAGAAAATTTTCTGAGAAAAATAATGCACTCTATAAATATCTTTTTAAGCAAACAGGACACAAGATTTCCTTCTGGTTCACAGTATTTAATAGTGATCTATTTGTTGACTAAATCGTATTTTGTATTCTGAGCCAATAATGAAATACAGGTGGTGAAAAACACAGTGTATCAATTTAGCTCATCAGTTCTTTGAAAAATTATGATGAACTACAATGCCTTCAGCAAAGATGCTCTCAATTCTAACTTCAGGAATTTGCTCTTGAGGGAGAACACCAAATGTTCCTTTACAAAATCACATTCCCATGTAAGCTGTGTTTTTTTTTTAATCCATTTTGAATAATTTGCAACTTTATTTCAAATGTTAAACTGTTTTCCCCAACCTTCTTTAGAAATAATCTGATGCCAAAAAAGCAGGGAACTATTATTTTCATTTTAATTAGGTTAACCTACTTCCCCAAAAACACACCACCCCCACCCTGGCAAAAAAAAAAAAAAATCTCAGAAATGTATTATTCTCATATGTACATCAAACTGACCACTACATAATCCTTGACTTTGAAGAGTTTGAAGTGTAATAGAAAAATAAGTGAAGGAAGCTGGCGCCACGGCTCACTAGGCTAATCCTCCGCCTTGTGGCGCCGGCACACCGGGTTCTAGTCCCGGTCGGGACGCCGGATTCTGTTCTGGTTGCCCCTCTTCCAGGCCAGCTCTCTGCTGTGGCCCGGGAGTGCGGTGGAGGATGGCCCAAGTGCTTGGGCCCTGCACCCGCATGGGAGACCAGGAGAAGCACCTGGCTCCTGCTACTGGATCAGCGCGGTGCGCCAGCCGCGGTGCGCCAGCCACAGTGCGCCAGCCGCAGTGGCCATTGGAGGGTGAACCAACGGCAAAGGAAGACCTTTCTGTCTCTCTCTCACTGTCCACTCTGCCTGTTTAAAAAAAAAAAAGTGAAGACTAGACAGCTTACATGTTTTCACTTGAAATAATGGACTTTTTTTTTTAAAGTGTCAATGTTAGAAGGCAAAGTTTTTGCTTACTCTTTTCTTGTTTTAAAAATACAATATAGTAGGCTGGAGCTGCGGCTCACTAGGCTAATCCTCTGCCTGCGGCGCTGGTACCCCAGGTTCTAGTCCCGGTCGGGGTGCCGGATTCTGTCCCAGTTGCTCCTCTTCCAGGCCAGCTCTCTGCTGTGGCCCGGGAAGGCAGTGGAGGATGGCCCAAGTGCTTGGGCCCTGCACCCGCATGGGAGACCAGGAGGAAGCACCTGGCTTCTGGCTTTGGATTGGCAGTAGCGGCCATTTGGGGAGTGAACCAACGGAAGGAAGACCTTTCTCTCTGTCTCTCTCTGTCTAACTCTGCCTGTCAAAAAAAAAAAAAAAAATACAATAGAGTACTTCAGTAATATTAGCTGAAAACAACACTAAAAGAAAACAAGTAGATGGCTCATGATTTCCCACCATACTCTAAAGTTTGATCTCATTAGATCTACATAAGGTCCTTCAGGAACTAGCCCCATCTACCCTTTCCAGTTTTATTTCTGCCATTAAATCCCTGCATACTTCTGCTAAATCTAACCACTCAAGGTTTCCCAACAGGAACCAGATTCTCACATTCGAACTGATGGTAATGCATTCAAAGCACAAATAAATCTCATCTTCAAAATAAGTTTGCCTGATTCCTCCAAATAGATGTAATCTTCGCCTTTTGAAATCAGATAGACTCAGAACAGAAATTTGGTTGACACAGTAGTTGTATAACCTTGTTTATGTTGCTTAATATCTCTAAGCTTCAGTTTTTCCATACATAAAATGAGAACAGCACCTATTTCACAATCCTACAATCAGAAGAATGGTTAAAATACACAGGCCCTGCAGCCGAATTGCCAGGGACTGACTCAACTCTGTCTCATACTAGTTGTTTTGACGCTAGATAAGTTCCTTCAGCTCTGTACCTCAGTTTTCCTACCTCTAAAAAGAATAGCAGAGACTGTCATTGAGGCATAGCAGGTAAAGCCACTGCCTGCAGTGCCAGCATCCCAAATTGGTGCCAGTTCATATCTAGGCCGTTTGACTTCAGATCAACCTACTAATGCACCTAGGAAAAGCAGCAGCAGATGGCCCAAGTGTTCGGGCCCCTATACCAATGTGGGTCTGGAGACCTGAGCATTTGGCTTTCGCCTGGCCAGAGCCCTGGCTCTTGTGGCCATCTGGGGAATGAACCAGTGGATGGAAGATCTCTCTGTCTCTCCCTCCAACTCTGACTTTCAAAATAAATAAATATATCTTAAAACAAAAAAATCTCATTGGATCAGATTAGCGTGAGAATAAATTAATAGAGAGGGGCCAGCGCTGTGGTGTAGTGGGTTAAAGCCCCAACCTGCAGTGCTGGCATGCCATATGGGTGCTGGTTCAATTCCTGGCTGCTCCACTTCCGATGCAGCTCTCTGGTATGGCTTGGGAAAGCAGTACAAGATGGCCCAAGTCCTTGGGCCCATGCATCCATGGGGGAGACTCGGAAGAAGTTCCTGGCTCCTAGTTTCAGATCAGCTCAGCTCTGGCTGGTGTGGTCACCTAGGGAGTAAACCACTGGATGGAAGACCTCTCTTTCTCTCTCTGGCTCTACCTCTGTTAACTATTTAAAATAAACAAAATAAATCTTTAAAAAAATTAATCATAGATCCTAGCCCACAGAAGAAACAAAACAAATACTATTATATTGTTATTAGCTTTAGGATTGTCAACAATTAATATGAAACATTTAACACAATGGTTAACACATAAGAATCACTTAAACAACTTGAACTATGTATTACTCAACTTTATTTTTTCTCTTAAATCTAAAAGAGCATCTAATAACTGTTATAAGACTGAAATAAATATACAGCTACATATTATCACATTTAAATTCAAGTTAAACAAGTATATTTATAAAATATCAAGTTCACAAGATAACAATCAATACAATGGAGAAACAATAATTTAAAATGGCATGAATTGCTAGGCATTAAGAAATCTTCCTTCAACCATGGACAGCATGGGTAAGAAACAAAAACCTCGTCTCTGAAAACATTTAAGGCTCAGAATACTTTTTTTTTTTTTGACAGGCAGAGTGGACAGTGAGAGAGAGACAGAGAGACAGGAAAGTCTTCCTTTGCCGTTGGTTCACCCTCCAATGGCCGCCACAGCCGGCGCACTGCGGCTGGCGCATCGCGCTGATCCGATGGCAGGAGCCAGGTGCTTCTCCTGGTCTCCCATGGGGTGCAGAGCCCAAGTACTTGGGCCATCCTCCACTGCACTCCCAGGCCACAGCAGAGAGCTGGCCTGGAAGAGGGGCAACCGGGACTAGAACCCGGTGTGCCTGCCGGCGCCGCAGGCAGAGGATTAGCCTATTGAGCCACGGCGCCGGCCCAGAATACTTTCAAAGAATTTGCGGCTGGCGCCGTGGCTCACTAGGCTCCAGTATCCCGGGTTCTAGTCCCAGTTGGGGCACCGGTTCTGTCCCGATTGCTCCTCTTCCAGTCCAGCTCTCTGCTGTGGCCTGGGAAGGCAGTGGAGGATGGCCCAAGTGCTTGGGCCTTGCACCTGCACAGGAGACCAGGAGGAAGCACCTGGCTCCTGGCTTCGGATTGGCGCAACACCGGCCGTAGCGGCCATTTTGGGGGGTGAACCAACAGAAGGAAGACCTTTCTCTCTGTCTCTCTCTCACTAACTCTGCCTGTCAAAAAAAAAAAAAAATTTAAAAGTAAGGCTAAAGTTAACATTTAATATTATTTGAAGAGCTGCTATATATAAATAACTATACTCTCAATAAATGGTTTAACAGGAACAGCCACAAATTTAATTTCAAAAAAACTGCACTGACTTAAACTCAATTTGAAACATATTTAGGCAAATAGATATCAACAACTGGATGAGTTATCTTTTTTAAACAGGTTGATATATCATTTGTTACTATGCATTAGTAATCATTCCCATTTTGCACAAAGGAAAATATTAAAGGACAGTGAAATGGTTCCTAAGCAAGGCCAACAAATACAGTTGTACAGGTCATTGAGGACCCAACACTATACTATCTCAAAGGAGGCCATCCATACTGTAAACATGATAAATCTCTGTTTACTGTAGTACTTTTTCTGGCAGATGGTAACAAAGGTTTTTAAGAAAGGGGAGCAGCCAGCACCGTGGCTCACTGGGCTAATCCTCTGCCTTGCAGCGCCAGCACA